GGGCAGTGTTGAGTCTGTGGGCAGTGTTGAGTCCATGGGTAGTGTTGAGTCTTTGGGCAGTGTTGAGTCTGTGGGTAGTGTTGAGTCTATGGGGAGTGTTGAGTTCCTGGGCAGTGTTGAGTCTATGGGTAGTGTTGAGTCTATGGGTAGTGTGAGTCTATGGGTAGTGTTGAGTCCATGGGCAGTGCTGAGTCTATGGGGAGTGTTGAGTCTATGGGTAGTGTGAGTCTATGGGTAGTGTTGAGTCCATGGGCAGTGTTGAGTCTATGGGCAGTGTTGAGTCTATGGGCAGTGTTGAGTCTATGGGGAGTGTTGAGTCTATGGGCAGTGTTGAGTCTATGGGGAGTGTTGAGTCTATGGGGAGTGTTGAGTCTATGGGCAGTGTTGAGTCTATGGGGAGTGTTGAGTCTGTGGGCAGTGTTGAGTCTGTGGGCAGTGTTGAGTCTATGGGCAGTGTTGAGTCTTTGGGCAGTGTTGAGTCTGTGGGCAGTGTTGAGTCTTTGGGCAGTGTTGAGTCTATGGGCAGTGTTGAGTCTATGGGCAGTGTTGAGTCTGTGGGCAGTGTTGAGTCCATGGGTAGTGTTGAGTCCATGGGTAGTGTTGAGTCTATGGGCAGTGTTGAGTCTATGGGCAGTGTTGAGTCTATGGGCAGTGTTGAGTCTATGGGCAGTGTTGAGTCTGTGGGCAGTGTTGAGTCTATGGGTAGTGTTGAGTCTATGGGCAGTGTTGAGTCTATGGGTAGTGTTGAGTCTATGGGCAGTGTTGAGTCTATGGGCAGTGTTGAGTCTATGGGCAGTGTTGAGTCTATGGGCAGTGTTGAGTCTGTGGGCAGTGTTGAGTCTATGGGGAGTGTTGAGTCTATGGGTAGTGTTGAGTCTATGGGTAGTGTTGAGTCTATGGGCAGTGTTGAGTCTGTGGGCAGTGTTGAGTCTATGGGTAGTGTTGAGTCTATGGGTAGTGTTGAGTCTATGGGTAGTGTTGAGTCTATGGGTAGTGTTGAGTCTATGGAGAGTGTTGAGTCTATGGGCAGTGTTGAGTCTATGGGCAGTGTTGAGTCTGTGGGCAGTGTTGAGTCTGTGGGTAGTGTTGAGTTGATGGGCAGTGTTGAGTCTATGGGCAGTGTTGAGTCTGTGGGCAGTGTTGAGTCTATGGGTAGTGTTGAGTCTATGGGGAGTGTTGAGTCTATGGGTAGTGTTGAGTCTATGGGTAGTGTTGAGTCTATGGGTAGTGTTGAGTCTATGGGCAGTGTTGACTCCATGTGTAGTGTTGAGTCTATGGGCAGTGTTGAGTCTATGGGCAGTGTTGAGTCTATGGGCAGTGTTGAGTCTATGGGCAGTGATGAGTCTATGGGGAGTGTTGAGTCTATGGGTAGTGTTGAGTCTATGGGCAGTGTTGAGTCCATGGGGAGTGTTGAGTCTCTGGGCAGTGTTGAGTCTATGGGCAGTGTTGAGTCTGTGGGCAGTGTTGAGTCTATGGGTAGTGTTGAGTCTATGGGGAGTGTTGAGTCTATGGGTAGTGTTGAGTCTATGGGTAGTGTTGAGTCTATGGGTAGTGTTGAGTCTATGGGCAGTGTTGACTCCATGTGTAGTGTTGAGTCTATGGGCAGTGTTGAGTCTATGGGCAGTGTTGAGTCTATGGGCAGTGTTGAGTCTATGGGCAGTGATGAGTCTATGGGGAGTGTTGAGTCTATGGGTAGTGTTGAGTCTATGGGTAGTGTTGAGTCTATGGGGAGTGTTGAGTCTATGGGTAGTGTTGAGTCTATGGGTAGTGTTGAGTCTATGGGTAGTGTTGAGTCTATGGGCAGTGTTGACTCCATGTGTAGTGTTGAGTCTATGGGCAGTGTTGAGTCTATGGGCAGTGTTGAGTCTATGGGCAGTGTTGAGTCTATGGGCAGTGATGAGTCTATGGGGAGTGTTGAGTCTATGGGTAGTGTTGAGTCTATGGGCAGTGTTGAGTCCATGGGGAGTGTTGAGTCTCTGGGCAGTGTTGAGTCTATGGGCAGTGTTGAGTCTGTGGGCAGTGTTGAGTCTATGGGTAGTGTTGAGTCTATGGGGAGTGTTGAGTCTATGGGTAGTGTTGAGTCTATGGGTAGTGTTGAGTCTATGGGTAGTGTTGAGTCTATGGGCAGTGTTGACTCCATGTGTAGTGTTGAGTCTATGGGCAGTGTTGAGTCTATGGGCAGTGTTGAGTCTATGGGCAGTGTTGAGTCTATGGGCAGTGATGAGTCTATGGGGAGTGTTGAGTCTATGGGTAGTGTTGAGTCTATGGGCAGTGTTGAGTCCATGGGGAGTGTTGAGTCTCTGGGCAGTGTTGAGTCTATGGGCAGTGTTGAGTCTATGGGGAGTGTTGAGTCTGTGGGCAGTGTTGAGTCTATGGGCAGTGTTGAGTCTATGGGCAGTGTTGAGTCTATGGGGAGTGTTGAGTCTATGGGCAGTGTTGAGTCTGTGGGCAGTGTTGAGTCTATGGGTAGTGTTGAGTCTATGGGTAGTGTTGAGTCTATGGGGAGTGTTGAGTCTATGGGCAGTGTTGAGTCTATGGGCAGTGTTGAGTCTGTGGGCAGTGTTGAGTCTATGGGCAGTGTTGAGTCTATGGGCAGTGTTGAGTCTATGGGCAGTGTTGAGTCTATGGGCAGTGTTGAGTCTATGGGCAGTGTTGAGTCTATGGGCAGTGTTGAGTCTATGTGCAGTGTTGAGTCTATGGGCAGTGTTGAGTCTATGGGCAGTGTTGAGTCTGTGGGCAGTGTTGAGTCTATGTGCAGTGTTGAGTCTATGGGCAGTGTTGAGTCTATGGGCAGTGTTGAGCCTATGGGCAGTGTTGAGTCTATGGGCAGTATGTTTGTTGAACTTCTTTCGCACCGTACGTAGCCAACTGCTCTCATCGGATATGCAGGGCGGAAGGACAACAAACTAAACACAACAAAAAATCACTTCTCAAGAAACGAGTTTTCACAATCTGGACGATTTAAAAGCACGTAGCTTCAGTGGCTTCCTAATATCGGAAGCAGGAGGAACGTTCCAGACGGCCGCAGAGGCGCATCTGAAAGTGCCGCGCGACGATTTGCTCGGGTTCCTGGAGGTGTGGGTGCGTAGACACGTGCGTCTTGAATCAGAGCTACAACACCGCTCTCTCGTCTGCTGCCAACAACGTATAAGCCCCGCGACCAGCCTATAGCACCTCTGATGCGCAGTCGGAGGTGTTCCTTTCACGCCAGCCCTCGCGGCCCACCACCTCTCGTTACACGCTTCACGCGCCCGATGATTGTCAAGCACGCGACACGCTCAGCAATTGACGACGTTTGCGTTCGCAGAGGCGATTCGATTGAGATCTGAGCGCGTTGTGTTTCACAATCATCATGCGCGTGCAGCGTGAAACGATCGAATTCGTATTTGAACGATCTTGGAAACCCTGGCGCAGTCATTCCTCATCCGAATACGATCCAGGCTCAACGTTGCCTCGCTTGCCAGGTCGCGCTCACACATTCCAGGTGATTTACTCATGCATGGTGCTGGCCTTTGTGGTTGCCACCAGTCCGGGTTTCACCCGAGACGAGAGCTTGACCCGGACAATTCGTGAGATCGGCGTCTGTTGTGCTGGTGGCAGGTTGTACCGACGTCTTGTGCTGCAGGTGGCGAGATGTTAACTCCCTCGCCTGGTATGCAGGAAGTCACGGGTTCGATCCCGACCCTGACGCCTGCTGCTGTATGTTTGGAGTTTGCGTTTTCTTCTTTCTCTCTCCCCGTGATCGCGTGTATTTTTCTCCAGGTCCTCCGGTTTTTCCCTCCTCATTTAGAATCAACATCGCGCCTTTAGGGTATTTGGCTGCTGTACATTTCCACACGATGATAAGCCACTTCGTTGAGCCATCATTTGTGGCCAGGTGACCTCTGAACAAAGAGCTGTATAGCTCGGTGGGCCTTACAATACAAACATACGTAGTTTAGATTGTTTAACAGTTTTGAGTACTTGTCAATTGGGCGTCATTGCAGGAAGAACACAGCGCAGTTGAGATAATAGACCTAGAATTTCTGCCTGAAAGAAGACGCGGTTTTCCGCGTGGAAAAAAAAGGTGGCAACGCTACAACTCTACCGCGAACAGCCCTCATTAATTTGTTTCTGATGACCTTGAATAATTTGTCCCCCAAACGCGTCGTGTTTGTGCTCGCGAATTTCAATTCTACTGTGCGCGGTGGGGTGGCGGGGAGGAGCGGTGGCGCAGCGGTTAGCGCGACCCGTGTTCGATTGCCCGCTCACGGCCAACATCGGTGAGGAATATCTGAACCGGTTCTGGGCCTCCTCTAGGTCGACTCAGCCCAAAATGTATATCTGGTTCCGCGTGTAAACACATCGCCACTGGGGGAGACAAAGGCAGCCGAGCGAGGTGCTGGCCACCCACCCCCTCATGTGCCGTGCCGGCCTTCATAGGGTGCTACTCGCTACCAGCACTTGCCCCAACAGTCTGTTACAGGCTACACGGGAGATCTTTGTCTTTTGGTGGTGGTGGTGGTGGATGGGCGAGGCGGGGGGGGGCTCTGGGGGAGGTGAAGGAGGGTGGGGGCATCTCAAGGTGAGTCCGAGCAGGTTTTCGAGCTGAACGTGCCCAGGAATACATTTCGGGGTGCTTCGGGAGTGACGCGAAGGTGGTGGAACGGGCGCAATTGCCCGGCGGCTGCTGCTGCTGCTGCTGCTCCTGCTGCTGCTGTTGTCCAAACTCCGCTGCTTCAAGAGTTTGCCCCCTCGCTGCTCGAGCTGGTGCCGTGAGTCTCGAGTGTCTCCGTCTCGTCAAGACGCGAACGTTGAAGCCACGTGGCATCTGTCCGAGCAGGAGGCGCAGGAGGAGACGGGCGCATGCACCCCTCACCTCCGGTCTCTTCGCCAGTGACGATGAGTAGTCGACAAAGTCATCATCGGTCGAGGGAAGAGTCGTTGCTTCCACGTTTGTTTTCATGATTTTGTTTTTTTTTCCCTGCAGACTAAAATATGCTAACGGGGTGTAAAGTCGCGTAGCGTACTTTCTGAAAATAGATTTTTTTTTTCTGTAGCGTATGGAACATTGCTTAATTGATGCGATTGTATAGTGTGCGTTCGGGGAGTTTCATAGCTTAATGCCCTCGTGAGAATCAGCGGAGAAAGAGCGGTGGCTAACACCGTACGGTTAAACCCACCGTGGTGGTCTGCGCTCCTTGTCCTGAGGAGAAGGAGGAGGAGCGACACGACACGAACTCTCTCTCTCTGATGAAACCCTCTCTCTCGTCGTCGTGGCGAGCAGCAGCAGACCTCAACATTCACATTTAGCTCCTGAACATCATTGCTGCCTTCACGCGCAGGAAGATAGCTAAAGCATATTTAGCGTTAGACAAGTTGGTAAAACATTGTAATGGTATAGTCAAAGTTACGATAGCAGTTGTTGTTGTTGTTTTTGAAATCTCGAAGAAAATACCCTTATCGTTAAACGTCAGAATCGTGTAGGAGTTTAGGTCGTGTTACACATCTAGCAGCCGTTACTCAAATCATGTTTAAATAACGTCTATTATCACGCAGTTGCCAATAAAGCTTGAACACGCTTGTACATTTAACTTAGGCTGTTATTGTTATCAATCCTAATTACGTAAAGTTGTCATAATTGTTATTCTTGAATCTGCCGCGCCTATCAAGCTGTGTGTATAAATGAATTGGCCTTAAAGTTCACTCGGAGTAATTGTAGTGTACTTTAAATAATAATATTACTCAAGTTGATTCATTATTCATATTTTAGTTTTAATTGTTATGAGTATGAATTATATTATTGGCTCGTGTTAATTAGTTACAAGTCGCTTCGTGTTCATTAATCCGCCGTATGAGCAATTAGTATGATTTCTGTTTGGTAATTGCGTTAAAAGGTTTGCCGTGTTTTATATCTTATGAATTATACCATTTCATATTTGTTCGGACTGGTACATAACATAATTGAATATTGATCTTCTTCGCGACTGTAAGCACTAATTAAATTATGACTATTCTTATTAATCAACATAAGCAATTAATTATGCAGTCAATTTGAGTTAATTAATATTTTGACGGCATTAACTATTAGTCAGTTGTACACGAATGTAAACATTTTAACATATAACGCGACATTGTATATTTCTATCATCCTAATAGTTATTATTCTACTCTTATAATTCATTGTTATTCGATTATAATTCAATTAACATTATTCTTCACAACTCAGCCGGAAAATTAGCACCAGCTTAGCCCCTACTACCTTTCACAATAGCGATCGGCCAACAACACAACTTAAACCAACAACAACAACAACAGCACTAATAGACTCGTGTGCATCATAAATAGCCGGATCAACAGCAACAACAAACTTCAACAACAACAAAGTGTAAACAACAACTACTGCTACAACTGTAACAGCCCGTGCTGCATCAAATTCAACCGCTCGACAACAACAACAATAACAACAACAAACAACAACATTAACAACACACAACACAAACAACAACAAACAAAACAGCCACAACTGCGTTAGTCGGCCACATCTCTACCAGAGCTAGCCGAGCCAACAACAACAACCACCACAACAACCACAACCAACGCATCATCAACAACAACAACAACAGCTACAACACCCCCCCACCCCACCCCACTGTGTGCATTCAAGCAAGCGGTGACCCGTACAGGTTCAATTCCCAGAGTTGCCTCTCTCTCCACACCCCACACGCCAAACACGACCATGAGCTCGTACTTTGAAGATTCGCTCCACGGGGGATATTTCGACTGCCGCTTCGCCGCTCACGAAGCCGCCATGCGCAACGCCGCCGCTGCCTCCGCCGCCGCCGGCAGCGATTTCTCCGCGGGCGTCTTCGACAGGTCCGGGGGCTTCGGCGTCGGGGCCTTCAACGGAGCCCCGTACGGACTCGGCTACCACGGGGTGCCGCACTTCGAGGGCGAAACGTCGGACCCCGGCTACCCGAGGCTGCACGACCCGACCGCCTCGCCCTACGGAGCCGCCTCGCCCGCGGCACGGGGGCGAGGTGGAGCGGGGGTCGAGGGGGTCGAGGTGGACGCCGCGCGAGGAGGAGACGGGGGCGGCACGGTGTTCCCGTGGATGAGACCCCAAGGTTGGACGCGCGGGTTGTTTGTGCGAGTGTGTGTTGGTGCGGGGAGCGGTGGTGCAGCGGTTTGCGCGCTGCGCTATGAACCCGGCGACACGAGTTCGATTCCCACTCACGGCCAACACCAGTGACGATTATTTGAACCGGTCCCGGGCCTCCCCTAGGTCGACTCAGCCTCAAATGAGTACCTGGTGCGGTGTGTAAACATTGCCACTAGGGAGACAAAGGCGGTCGGGCGTGGTGCTGGCCACCCACCCCCTCGTGTACCGTTCCGGCCTTCATAGGTGCTCGCTAACAGCACTTGCCCCAACAGTCTGTTAAAGGCTATACGGGGGTTCTTTGGTGCGGAGCGGTGGTTGTAGACAGTGCCCGGATAATCCTGGGAGCAAAAGTAGCTTCTTATGGCTATACGGGCTTGATTTGAGGATTTCGTGACTGCAGGAATCCATACTCTTTGGTTCTTTTGGTAAAGTCACGTAGGTAGAAAATAAATAATAGATCACGACGTTTCGATCGCAACAAGACGGTGGCTTGTTGTTGCGATCGATACGTCGTGATCTATAACACTGGTCAACAAAAAAATAGTTTTTTTTCTGGCCTGGACTTTTGCTCCGCATTTTCAAGGTCCCCCCGCGCTAAATGCTTTCAAGCTATCGATTCCGGTTCAGTGATTCTGCACTTGCTCTATTACTATAGTACTATACTGCCTTCGACTTTTATGAACGAGCGGGTGTTTGAGGTTAGCGATTTGTCGTATTATCTGGCTGTGTAGCAAATGAAAAAATGCATTTACTTTGCTATCCAAGTAAAAAAAATTGTATTTTAATATTTACATGTTTTGTTTAAATTTAGGGCCCCTTTATAACATCATGCTACAAGCCCTGCACCAGCTTAATCCGGCACTGGTTGTAGCGTTTAGCGCGCTGTGCTACGAGCCCGACGAGCCGAGTTCGACTCCGGCTCACGGCCGACACCGGAGACGATTATCAGAGCCGGTCCTGGGCCTCCCCTAGGTCGACTCAGCCTCAAATGAGCACCTGGTGCGGTGCGTGAACATCGCCACTGGGGACACAAAGTCGGCTAGGCGTGGCGCTGGCCACCCCTCGTGTGCCGTGTCGGCCTTCATAGGTTCTCGTTAACAGCACTTTTCCCAACAGGCTGTTAAGGTTATACGGGGGATCTTTGTTGATATGGGACTCTCCACCTAGGTCGACTCAGCCTTAAAACACATTCCTGCGGAGGGAGCTGGTAGTAACGTTGGGTTGCTCGGTCAATGGCCAGGGTCAACGTAGGCGTGGTGTATTCTGCAAATATGCCCGACTGTGAGGGCGGGCACAAGTCGGCGTGAGTAGGTTAAACGTTGAGTTTTATAAGGACACCACGGGGTGAGCACCCCTCCCCACTCAGCCCCTCCCACCCTCCCTTCCCCACCCAGCCCCTCTCTCCCCACCCAGCTCCTCCCTGCACGACGGACGGACACAATAATCCCTTGTGGGCTGGTGTAACCAGGAGGTTACTACCAGTATAAGTATAGTATAGTACCTGGGGTAGCTTGTGACGCATGGGCGTGTGTGTAGGTGGTGTGTGTAGAAGGGTAGGGGAGGAGCGGTAGTGTAGTGGTTAGTTTGCGCGATTCTCCTGTAGCCATGCACCGAGGCTGTGTCCCCGGATCTCTCAGACGAATTTGAAGTTTCCTCGATGAAACATCGAATTTGCAGTTCGCTTTCAACAACCAACGACTCTGGAGTGCAGACCGCGTGCTTTCTTCACGAGTGGCTGGACCGTTGCCGTCAGTGCCGGTAACACTGGTCAACAAAAAAAAAATTCAGGCCTGGACTTTTGCAGCTGTTTTATACTAATCTTAGGGTGCTGATTCCAAATCTGATCTCAGATTTGCTCTATCACATCTCGTTTTTATGCTATCGGCATACCCCATTTTCATTGATTTTACCCGAAATTAACTCTGTCACTTATGATTGCAAGTTGTGGCGAGTCAGTGACTGCTTTAGTGTTAAAATATGGTGCTGTATTTTTAGGATAGTGTGTTTATAATATCATTTTATGTAGATATCCACATTTATTTAATATTTTTCTTCTGCAGTTTTTATTGAAAATGCAATATTTGATATCTCAAAAAGCTGATGTGATAGACAAAAACTGATGCCAGATTTGGAATCAGCACCCAAAAATTACCTTACGACCGTTGGAATACCTCATGCCAGAAAAAGTGTGTTGACCAGTGTCATTTGCCTCTGTGATCGGGTGGCAGGGATTCATCTTGTACTGAGGTCTGGTACCTGACCAGTAATTGCTGCGTTGAGCCTCGCGACAACACACACACCACGTGCGCTCGGGGTGTTCGTACGCGCGCCTTTGCCACGCCGCACCGGGGGTACTCATCTAAGGCTGAGTCGACCTAGGGGAGGCCCAGGACCGTATTCTGGAGAAGGTCGACAGTTCTTTACAGTGGCGTATCAACGACATTATCAGTGGCATAGTGACTACATAGTGACTACATGATCAGTGGTGTAGTGACTACATTATCAGTGGTGTAGTGACTACATTATCAGTGGCGTAGTGACTACATTATCAGTGGTGTAGTGACTACATGATCAGTGGTGTAGTAACTACATTATCAGTGGTGTAGTAACTACATTATCAGTGGTGTAGTAACTACACTATCAGGGGCGTAGTGACTACATTATCAGTGGTGTAGTAACTACATTATCAGTGGCGTAGTAACTACATTACCAGTGGCATAGTAACTACATTATCAGTGGTGTAGTGACTACATTATCAGTGGCGTAGTAACTACATTATCAGTGGTGTAGTAACTACATTATCAGTGGTGTAGTAACTACATTATCAGTGACCTAGTAACTACATTATCAGTGGCGTAGTAACTACATTATCAGTGGCGTAGTAACTACATTATCAGTGGCGTAGTAACTACACTATCAGTGGCGTAGTGACTACATTACCAGTGGCGTAGTGACTACATTATCAGTGGCGTAGTAACTACATTATCAGTGGTGTAGTAACTACATTATCAGTGGCGTAGTAACTACATTATCAGTGGTGTAGTAACTACATTATCAGTGTAGTAACTACATTATCAGTGGCGTAGTAACTACATTATCAGTGACGTAGTGACTACATTACCAGTGGCGTAGTGACTACATTATCAGTGGCGTAGTAACTACATTATCAGTGGTGTAGTAACTACATTATCAGTGGCGTAGTGACTACATTATCAGTGGCGTAGTAACTACATTTTCAGTGGTGTAGTAACTACATTATCAGTGGTGTAGTAACTACATTATCAGTGGTGTAGTAACTACACTATCAGTGGTGTAGTAACTACACTATCAGTGGCGTAGTGACTACATTATCAGTGGTGTAGTAACTACATTATCAGTGGCGTAGTAACTACATTATCAGTGGCGTAGTGACTACATTATCAGTGGTGTAGTAACTACATTATCAGTGGTGTAGTAACTACATTATCAGTGGCGTAGTAACTACATTATCAGTGGCGTAGTAACTACATTATCAGTGGCGTAGTAACTACATTATCAGTGGCGTAGTGACTACATTATCAGTGGTGTAGTAACTACATTATCAGTGGTATAGTAACTACATTATCAGTGGTGTAGTAACTACATTATCAGTGGTGTAGTAACTACACTATCAGTGGTGTAGTAACTACACTATCAGTGGCGTAGTGACTACATTATCAGTGGTGTAGTAACTACATTATCAGTGGCGTAGTAACTACATTATCAGTGGTGTAGTGACTACATTATCAGTGGTGTAGTAACTACATTATCAGTGGCGTAGTGACTACATTATCAGTGGTGTAGTAACTACATTATCAGTGGCGTAGTAACTACATTATCAGTGGCGTAGTGACTACATTATCAGTGGCGTAGTAACTACATTATCAGTGGTGTAGTACCTACATTATCAGTGGTGTAGTAACTACATTGTCAGTGGCGTAGTAACTACACTATCAGTGGCGTAGTGACTACATTACCAGTGGCGTAGTGACTACATTATCAGTGGCGTAGTAACTACATTATCAGTGGTGTAGTAACTACATTATCAGTGGCGTAGTGACTACATTATCAGTGGTGTAGTAACCACATTATCAGTGGTGTAGTAACTGCATCATCAGTGGTGTAGTAACTACATTATCAGTGGCGTAGTAACCACATTATCAGTGGTGTAGTAACTGCATCATCAGTGGTGTAGTAACTACATTATCAGTGGTGTAGTAACCACATTATCAGTGGTGTAGTAACTGCATCATCAGTGGTGTAGTAACTACATTATCAGTGGCGTAGTAACTACACTATCAGTGGCGTAGTGACTACATTATTAGTGGCATAGTAACTGCTGTATATTTGGAGACATCTGCTGTATATTTGGAGTTTGCATGTTCTCCCCGTGCTTCGTGTGAATTTTTTCTAGGGGTCCTCCGATGTTTCCCTCCAGCTTTAGAAACAACATCACGCGTTTGTAGTATCTGGCTTCTATACATTTCCACATGATGATACGGCACTTCGTTCGGCTATCGGTTGTGGCCAGGTCGCTTCTGAAAGAAGAGCTATATAACTCAGTGGGCCTTAAATTTCGATTTAAAGCTTCCGTGACTGCAGGGATTCATCTTCTTGGTTCTTTCGGTAAAGTAACGTAGAAGGAAAGTAATAAAATAATAAAATTTAACATAATAAATTCCTCTTGATATGCAAATTATTTTTTCAAGGCGCTCTTCCCCCTCCAACCCAGCTTAAATATACGCTCCAAGCGTGGGGCGTTTCATTCAGACGCTGTCTTCCCGACAGACCTGTTTTTCACCTGAGGACGGCTGCTTGCGTTGTGGCCGAAACGTCGTGAGAATTATTATGTTTTATTTTTATTATTTTATTATTTCCCTTCTACGTGACTTTACCGAAAGAACCAAGAAGATCAGTGGGCCTTACCTGGTAAAAGACAAACAAAAGTTTAAATAATTTTAGATCGTGGCTGGTGATCACGACGACGACGACGATGATGACGATGATACCGACGGTGACATGTTGATTCTTGCAGGTCCTGCGCGCAGGCGAGGCCGCCAGACCTACAGCCGCTACCAGACCCTGGAGCTGGAGAAGGAGTTCCTCTTCAACCCGTACCTGACGCGCAAGCGGCGCATCGAGGTGTCTCACGTGCTGGGCCTCAGCGAGCGCCAGGTCAAGATCTGGTTCCAGAACCGGCGCATGAAGTGGAAGAAGGAGAACAACAGGGACAAGTTCCCCAGCACCTGCCGGCCCAGCGGCAGCACGAGTGAGGAGGGGTCGTCGCATTCCCCCGATAGCCAAACTCAAGACAAACCACTCAGTGACATATAAGTCACTGCAGATGCCGTTATTGGACCTGTAGAGGCCGTTATTGGAGCTGCAGAGGCTGCATTGGACCTGCGTAGGCTGTTATTGGACCTGCAAAGGCTGTTATTGGACCAGCAGAGGCTGCATTGGACCTGCAGAGGCCGTTATTGGACCCGCAGAAGCTGCATTGGACCTGAAGAGGCTGTTATTGGACCAGCAGAGGCTGCATTGGAACTGTAGAGGCTGTTATTGGAGCAGCAGAGGGTAGATTGGAACTGCAGAGGATGCATTGGACCTATAGAAGCAATATATGTCCTTGGTTAATATGTCATCATGGCCAGAGCTCTTGGTGTTACCACACCTTGCCCATGGGAGCTGATGTGGTGAGACGTTAACTACCTCGCCTGGTTCCAACCCGACCCTGACGATGCCTAATGTATATTTGGAGTTTGCATGTCTCTCTACCCGTGGTCGAGCATATTTTTATTCTGGTCCTCCGGTTTTCACTTCCACATTTAGAAACATGCATTTAGAGTATTTGTCTGCGATACATTTCCACATGATAGGCCACTTCATCGAGCTATCATTTGTGATAGCCAGGTCGCTTCTGAAAAATAGCTCTATAGTTCAGTCGGCCTAAGGAAATACGAAAATCGTAAAATAAAAATATCGACCCTTTCTCGGATCCCACAGCTGCCACACAGTAGACACGTGGCATCCAAGATTTGCCGTAACATTCTCACACCCTCCGGTCTTAGGTCCTCCCCTTGGTCGCTGGATTATTTCAACAACTGACCCTCCTGCATCATGTATGCCCTACTCAGAGATGCCATAGACGACCTTATTGATCCTACAGAAGCGGTGTCTTATAGAGGCCACGTTGGTTAATTATGAGCCATATTGGTCGTCTAGAAGTCTAGTGAATGTGATCCAGTATCCAGGTCAAGATTATAATTTTTTCACCAGGTGATAACTTAAGATACAAAGATCAGTGTAATTTTGCAAGCGAGCTGGGTCATCAACAACGAAAGCAAAACAGATAAAAACTAAGTAGAGTAATGAAGCGACTCACATTAAGTACAGCAATGAAGCAAATAGTTCGGTGTCAGATTAATGTAATACAATAGTTGTGGGGAGCAAGTGTTTGTCAACCGCATCGAGATTCATGAAACTTTTTAACCTGGCTGGGCTACGAGATGGGTCAGGAAATGGCTGGCACAGCAAGATCTGTCTTCTTCTTTCTTGTCGCATGGCTGATGATGTATATGCAGAGTTAAAACTACAATCTCACATTCAGGTGGTCAAGCCAAATAACCACGCTAGCAGGATCAGCGGGAGTTGTGTTTCGCTGTAATGTCTCTTTCATATTTGTGGATCGGCACATTGTGTTACTACTATACGTTGTTACGGTCTCTGTTCTGGACGAGCACAGTCACACACTGCGACTGGAGAGGTTTTTTAATTATAATTTTCCATTTGTTCATCAGAGATAATTCGCCTCTATTGCTGCCATGATTTTGTGTGCAATGGATGTGGTTTAGCAAGATCGGAGGGCCGTCGAGTGTTTTTGCCCCTTCTGCGGACATGTCGCCCTCGCTGTCGGTACCCCAGTGTCCCACCACACACAAGGTGCCACCTATAAAGGAATTGGACCAAAAGTTCCTGCAGACTCGGTGGAGACTTTCTTAGATAAGTAAAATAACAACAACACGTTATTCCTGTTATCACGGTCACTACCCCCTGCGGCCTAGTAAATTCACCCAGGGATGGTGCATTGTTGCCGGGCATAAATCCAGGCGAGGGCAGGTAAAACATGGCGGCCCGGCCTGGAAATGTGTTATTTAGTAAATGTGTATCGTTACAAAAAATATATTCTCTAAGGTACACTAATCGGACAGTGCTTCTTGTTTCGGCATTGGAGGCAAGCTAGTGTTCTGAACAAGTTTTCGATGAGACTGGAACAAATCAGTTCGACGATGGTGCGAACCGATCATGCTACTATTACGGCCACGTCACAGATATATTTTTTGAAGTATTAATACAATGCTTTAGTAATAATAATAATAACATGGACAATACGCGTGTGTTAGAAACACATTCCTGCGGAGGGAGCTGGTAGGAACGTTGGGTTGCTCGGTCAATGGCCAGGGTCAACGGCGGCGTGGTGTATTCCGCAAATATGGCCGACTCTGGGGGCTTGCACAAGCCGGCGTGAGTAGGTTAAACGTTGAGTTTTATGAGGGCACCACGGGGTGACCAGCCCCTCCCCACCCAGCCCCACCCTACCCATCGTCCCCACCCAGCCCCTCCCCACCCAGCCCCACCCCACCAAGCCCCTCCCCAGCCGCACTCTCCCCACCCTCCCCTCTCCACCCAGCCCCTCCCTCGCCACCCAGCCCCTCCCTGCACGACGGACGGACGGACACAATAATCCCCTGTGGGCTGGTGTAATCAGAGGTTCCTACCAGTATTTTACAGCACGTGTTGGGATTGTTCAAGACTTGCATTGTTTCTGACAATCAATCAAATCGTCTGAACGAACGCGCGATGCTATGGCGTGTTGAAGGTGCGTGTGGTGTCACTGGCACCAAACTCAAAGACTCACGACATATGCAGATGTTAAAGATTGCCCTCCATCGTGCTCGCTTCATGGAAACACTTGACAGCCCACGCATGATTGAAACATCTCCCCTACTTAATCATTTACTTTCATCTTCCCATATTCGTCATCCGCCTCTCAACAACAGCCTACTTCCTCGACAATGAAGATTTATATGTGGGTTATCAGATATTATCCAGGTCACCCCACCGCGACCCTGTATAATCTAATCAATTATTCACTGCTTTATGGACAAAGTAATTTAGGTAAGCTGTATATTAGATTTTTTTTAAATAAACAAGTTCGCGATTTTCTGTAACATCTGGTGCTTGTCCAATTTGAAGTGTCCTCGAATTCAATGATCGAGAGCTCGAGAAAGACCGGACGCTTCAAGGTTACACAATTGGAATGCCTCTGTAGACGTTTTACATATGTATAGTTTGGGTTGCCGTGGGGTTAACACCACTGGACTGGGAAAATCCAGAAGGTTGCGGGTTCGATCCGATCTCCCGGCTAGGCACTTAAAACAAACGCTGAGTGTATCTTACACTCCGCCACGCATCCGTCCACCGCAACAGTGTAGAGGATGGTCCAGATTTATTGTCACCCCCCACCCCGCCCCAATTAATTGACCCCTAACAGTTTTTTTTTCCCTTTGCGTATTCATTTCTGTTGTAAATAAACCTTACTTCGAATGTGTTTTATTAAGCTATAGAGAATTACAATACGTCTGGATCACCGTACAATAGGTTACACCACCGTGAGTCGATTGACCGGTTCTGTTGGGGTGGGGTAAAGGGTGGGTAATCACACCGCCTTCCAAGGCGTCTGAACAGCGAGGAATGCCAATAACACATTGCACTAAATAGGGGCTCCATCTATAGGGCAGTGCTTCGCAATGGGTGTGCCGTGGCAATGATAGAAAATAATTAGCAAAGACAAAAATCCCCCGTATAGCCTTAACAGGCTGTTGGGGCAAGTGCTGTAAGCGACCACTGATGAAGGCCGGCACGGCACACGAGATGGGTGGGTGTCCAGCACCACGCCCAGCCGCCTTTGTCTCCCCACAATTTACCATACATCAACATAAAATAAATTGAATCGACATACGCATAGAGACATTGCAGCGAATACAGAAGATCAGGGTGTCTCAAACTCCATTCCTTACGACCCATCACCACGCCCCGTCGTTCCGCGTCTACCAAAGTGCTCCTCCTACCCCATTCGAACGCAAATTAACTCGTTCCACGCCGCACGCGCCCGATGATTGTCAAACTCGTTCCACGTGACGCGCGAAGAAAATCACGCTGACCGCGTCAATCAGAGCCGACTCGCACATCAAGACTGAGGTCTCAGCGTGCGCGTGTCTTTGTACGTGTGTTCCCACGTGCGCGCGCGTGTGTTGCCACGTGCGCGCGCGTGTGTTCCCACGTGTTCCCACGTTTGTGGATCGGGGCATTGCGCCGTTATACTTTGTTACGGTCTCTGTTCTGGATGGATGACATTTCAAGGTGGTTAAAGGCAGGTAGAGTTTGGAGGTCATGGGATTTTCATTGCGTTGTCTCCTCTCTAGTTTAACTATAGTTTATGATAAATACCTTAGTTTGGGGGTAATTATCTTTGTTGCTAACGTAGCCAAATGTAACCGTTTTACATGATACTCAAAACATACCCATTGTACAATTATGCAATTGTGTATTCAAATGGAATTTGTCGTTTTTATTCTATTATATTTTTAAAAGAAAGTATAATTCTATACTTGTGTGTCCAAGTGGAGCCCCTTGAGTCGTTTGGTTTGTTTTCGCGCGATCCTGAGGATGGCCAGATAGCCACAGTTTGAATGTCAACGCAGCCAACAGGATTACAACGTGGTATATATCCTGTTACAGGATTACAACACCAATTTGACAACTCCTATTCTATAAAAACCCGTGTCAGACCACGGGCAGTGGAGAAGAGTTAATTGCAGAGCCCGTCACTCGGGTACGGGAAATCAAGGAGACCGCCCTGGGTCCCGCGCTTTGGGGGGAGGGGGGGCGGGGGGGGGTGCTCCCCTTCAACGTCACTGTCAGTTGTTACACTACCGGTTTAGTTTAACGGCCGTCGGTTGTGATGTGTCCTCCAGGGGCCCCACTGCCGTAGGGAGGCCCCTGGTTCGGGTATCCTGCTTGCTGTGTGTGGACAAAGACCAAGGAACGACAGAAGAGACAACGAAAGATCAGAGGGAGTGGCAGACGGGAGTAGATTACCGGGATCAGTGACGGACTCTGGGACAACAAAACGCGGGCATTTAGAAACGCAGCTACTCAAATTCGGGCTATGGGCAATTACTTATTTTTGTATATTTTTATTTCATGGGTTGTGCGATGGCAAACGGTGTTGGCCAGATTTGCGATGTGACGATGGTGGGCCAATGCGATCTCATTGGCCCATTTTGTGCTGGTCCAAAAAATAAACCCACACATGGGCCGTTGAGGGAAGAATCTTTGTGGTGCTTCCCCAATGAGGCCCACCGGGCATTTGCCCGGGACTGCTGCTGCTGCTGCTCCGAGTCTGGCCGGGGAGAAAGCGATGGGGGGATGGAAGTTCCGCCCCCCCCCC